CCAGGTGTGGTGCCTTTGCCTGTAATCCCAGCTACTCAGGAGGCTGAGGCAGTAGAATCACTTGAACCCAGGAAGCGGAGGTTGCAGTGAACCGAGATCACGCCACTGCACTCCAGCCTGGATGACAGAGTGAAACTCCATCTCAAAAAAAAAAAAAAAAGCGTCTTTGAAATACTGATTTGGTTTAGTTAATGTTTTCTGTTAAAAATTTTTTGAAGGTCAAAAGCCACGTAGGTTTTGGGTTTTTTTTTTTTTTTTTTTTAACAGATTGTTGAACTGTGATACAAATTTTTGTAATTCCCACTGATCAGAATCAATGTATTTGGAATGAATTTTCTTCCTTTCCTGAATATGTGGAAGATACGAGGGTATATCTATATAGGCAAGCATATAAAGGGTGTGTGATATACCCTTATCTTTAAATTGTGAATCTTGGGATCTCTGGCAACCTTGTAAGCAGTTGTGATGAGTTTCAAAAGTGAATTGGCACAGTATATCAGGACAGTTCTCCTTGTCTACTCTATTTTTGTTGTTTTTTGTGACAAGTTGTTTTTTGTGCCGTGTTGTTTATTGTGACAAGGCCTTTCTTCGCGTTCAGTATTTCTTTTAACTTTTCAGGTTACTGGCCAAGATTCCCTTTCTTAGCATTAAATTAGTCCAGTGTTCACTCCTAGGACCTTCTGTTATTGGAGTGCTCTCACCAAGTTTAATGACCATAAACATCATCTGTTTATTAATGATCATTTGTATTTGTTCCCAGCCTGTTCTCAACTTGTATATATACTTTTCTAATTGTATATATACTTGTATATATACTTTTCTAATTGTATATATACTTGTATATATACTTACATTATCTTACTTTACTTGCTTTATCCCTACATCTGCCCACAGACTTCACCTGTAAGTTGACCATTTTACTTAATGCCTACCTCATGCTTTGCTCAGGCCAAAAATCTTAGCATTACCTTTTCTTCCTACATGGAATCAATCAGCAAAATTCATTGTTGCATTTTACAGTTAAAGAAAAATGTGCATTTATTGTTCAACAAATTGCTGTACGTAGTGATGCGTACCTGCAACTCCAGCTACTTAAGAGGCTGAGGCAGGAGGATCCCTTGAGCCCAGGAGTTCTGGGCTGTAGTGCCTTATGATTGTGATTGCGCCTGGAAATAGCCACTGTATTCCAGCCTGGGCAACATAGTGAGATTCCCATTCTTTTTTAAAGGGGGAGAGGATTGGTGGACTTACTAAACAGTTTTAATCAAAACTTAATTTTTAAAAAAGACACATTAGAGCAGTTAAAACTTTGTGTTGATCATCTTAACATTTTTAAAGGTAGTGTAATTATTCTTAGTCCATATTTGTGTACTCTAGTTTCCTAGCCCTGTCTCTCAATGCTGTTTTGCTGATATCTCTAATAGTCTTATTTTAATCTTGTCAAAAGGAGCACTTTTGAGGTTAATAAGGTTTAAATTAATAACCCCTATTGACTCTAGTCTACAATATATAATTTTTTAAATGGCAAAATACCCTATGGGAACTAAGGTGTCTTAAAAGCTTAGAGCAAATCCTGTTAAATGGGACTAAGTCTCAATTCTCTTTTAACAAGACAAAAACACTTTATGTAGTCTCTTTTTTTTTTCAGTGTTTCTCAAAATTTCAATTTTATTCCATTCTGGTACAGAATACAAACTTACCCAGTAAAAATAGCTCCATTGAAAGAGCTTTCCCACAAATTGAAATATTTAAAGCACAGATACAGGCTTGTGTGCTGTTGGAGCATACATTGATTGATTTGTTCAGGTCCTCAGTTTTGTAGGAAAAGATGTCAGCATTATCTGATTTTCAAGCTATGTATTCAGTGATTCTAATTTTCTAAAAGCCTTGAAAGCCGAGCTGTTTTTTGTTCTGACCCCTCAGTTTGAGAGCCTAGTTTAAAGATTTCCAATAGATATAACAAAATGAACAAAATTTAGAGGACTCATTTATTTCCCCCAAGCAAGTCAGTGCCACAGTGGGACCCTAACATAAATTTATCAAAGTGTTTAAATTCCATGTAGTGAATGAAAGTAAATCATCTGAAACTGGTATAAAATAGGCATTAAACATTGTCCAAGCTAGAGTGCAGTGGCTGTCCACCAGCATGATCATTTAACACACAGAAGCCTGAAACACCTGGGCTTAATCCTGCCTCAGCCTTCTGAGTAGCTGGGACTACAGGCACATGCCACTATGCCTTGTTAAATTAAGGTGTTTAGCTCTTCTTCCCATTCCCTGCACCCTTCTGAGAGAGCTTATACTGAAAACTCTGCATTTTGTGTCCTTGACTTTGCACAGGGAGACAAAAGATCACAGTTGAGGAAAGAAAGTGCATGTACCCACTTTGGAAATCTGTTTCCATTTTTAAATTCCTGCAGTTATGGATGCCTTGATATTGTGGTAGACAGTTGATAGTGGCCAGATTGTTCTGTATTGTAATTTTTTTTTTCTTTTTATGGAGAATGGGGTCTCCCTATGTTATCCAAGCTGGTCTCGAACTCCTGCGCTCAAGCTATCCTCTCACGTCTGCTTCTCTATCATATCTTTTTTATTTAGGCATCTTTTCTTCTGCTTTCTAGTACTTGGTCTTTTGTTTATGAGTACATTCAGCTTTTCTGGGTTTTTTGTTGTTGTTGTTGTTGTTTTTGAGACAAAGTCTCACTCTTTCCCCTAGGCTGGAGTAGTGCAGTGGTGCGATCTGCAGCCTCTACCTCCCAGATTCAAGTGATTCTCCTGCGTCAGCCTCCCGAGTAGCTGGGATTACTGGCGTGCGCCCCTATGCCTGGCTAAGTTTTGTGGTGTTAGTAGAGACGGGATTTTACCATGTTAGCCACACTGGTCTTGAACCCCTGACCTTAGGTGATCCGCCGTCCTCAGCCTCCCAAAGTGCACTGTGCCCAGCCTTGCTTTATTGGTCTTGTATTTTGTTTCTGGGACAGGGTTTTGTGTTTTTGTCTCAGACAGCTCTGTTGCCCAGACTGGAGTGCAGTGACATGATCACAGCTCACTGCAGCCTTGATCTCTTGGGCTCAAGTGATCCTCCCACCTCAGTCTTCTGAGTAGCTAGGACCCCAGACGTGCACCACCATGCCTAGCTAACGTTTTTGAAGAGAGGGGGGTCTCTCTTTGTTGTTCTCTCTTGTGTCAAACTTCTGGGCTCAAGCGATCCCTGTCTTTGCCTCCCAAGGTATTAGTATTACAGGCATGAGTCATGTACCTAGTGGTTTTCTGCTGTTCAGATGGAATCCTAAACCTTACCCTTCATTGTTATTTCCATGTTTATATGAGAAAGATATAGTAGTCCCTAGACTTAAGGGGTAGCCCTTACTGACTTATGCCATAGACTAAAGAGAAACTGTTAGTTTGAAAATGTTGAAGGCAGTAGTGTATTAACATTGGTTCCATTTATTGTCTTTTTTTAACTTTTGATTATTAGACATTGGCTATATCATTGGTAAGATGGAGCTGTACCATCTTAAAAATATTCTAATAAACTATTTTCATAGTAGATAATTCATATTGTTATGCACAAGTCATGGAATGGTGAACTACATACTTGTTGGAAATAAATCGTTCATGTGGAATTGTGCAGACTGTATGTTAAGAGCAAACATCTTTCTACTTACAGAAGTATGCTCTCAGGGTCAGAATTTCAATCATGAGGTCAGGAGATTGAGACCATCCTGGCTAAGACGGTGAAATCCCGTCTCTACTAAAAATATAAAAAATTAGCTGAGTGTGGTGGCGGGCGCCTGTAGTCCCAGCTACTTGGAAAACTGAGGCAGGAGAATGGCATGAACTTGGGAGGCGGAGCTTGCAGTGAGCTGAGATGGCGCCACTGCACTCCAGCCTGGGTGAGAGCAAGACTCATCTGAAAAAAAAAAAAAAGAATTTCAATAGTTAAAAATTGATGTTGAGCGGGGCGTGGTGGCTCACGCCTGTAATCCCAGCACTTTGGGAGGCCGAGGCGGGCGGATCACGAGGTCTAACATGGTGAAACCCCGTCTCTACTAAAAATACAAAAAAAATTAGCCAGGCGTGGTGGCAGGCGCCTGTAGTCCTAGCTACTCCAGAGGCTGAGGCAGGAGAATGGCGTGAACCCAGGAGGCAGAGCTTGCAGTGAGCTGAGATTGCGCCACTGCACTCGAGCCTGAGCGACAGAGCGAGACTCCCTCTCAAAAAAAAATAAAAGGATGTTGAGTTAAAAAAAAAAAAAAAGTTGAGAGAATAAGGAGATTAGAAAACAAGAAGGGTACTTAGCCCCATGAGAGTGTTTTTGGTTTTCAGGTGGAAAATAGAGTTAGTGGATTGGGGAGGAAGGATGGTTCAGGAAGAACAAAGAATTTTTTTTTTTTTTAATTATACTTTAAGTTCTAGGGTACATGTGCACAATGTGAAGGTTTGTTACATGTATATACCTGCGCCATGTTGGTGTGCTGCACCCATTAACTTGTCATTTACATTAGGTATATCTCCTAATGCTATCCCTCCCCCTTCCCCCCACGCCACAACAGGCCCCGGTGTGTGGTGTTCCCCTTCCTGTGTCCAAGTGTTCTCATTAGAACAAAGAATTTAAGACAGTTGAGGGCCTCTGAAAGTGGTCTTGGAAGTTCAACAAATAACATGAATGTTGAGCTCTCCCTGGTCTAAGCTCTTAAACTGTGATAATATCTAATTATAGCTATTTCGGTTTGTAAGAGGTCGGCTTTTGTTTATGCAAATAAAAAATTTCATATCATTGTGTGTGCATACATGTTTTTATGAACTCTAGCTTTAAAGATGATTGTCTCAGCATATGTTCAGACATGTTTTCTCTCTCCTAATGAACTATATTATTTATGTGAATTGTGATGGAGTGTGCCTTTAAAAATAGGGTGAAAGTGGCTGAAAGCAATGGAGTCGCTTATGTTTTCTCAAATTAAGCTTGTGTGACTCACCCATTTTCTGTCTTGGTATAGGAACTTAGTGATTTGGCCCGTGACCCTCCAGCACAATGTTCTGCAGGTCCAGTTGGGGATGATAGTAAGTAACTTTCAAGTTGATTTTTATGCCTAATTTTTTTTAAGCTTGTGCATTGTTAGATAATCAGAGATTTTTTTTCTTTTTCTAGTGTTTCATTGGCAAGCCACAATTATGGGACCTGTAAGTATTAAAAATTTATAAATTTAGTTTTAAGTGAAAATCCAGCATTGATTTGGTTGTAATTTTTAACTTGGTCTGTAGGTTTATCATGTAGTTAATTCTATTTTGGATATTCCATAGTTGTACTGCATTTGAAAGAAACAACATAATGAGTTAGTCATTGGTTACGTGTACTTTGTGTCTATCCCTGTGTTCACATTCTAGAGTATAGCCATCTCTGTGACCTACCAAACATCTCTATATCTCAGTTCAGTTTTTCTTCATAGCACTGTGTAAAGCATTGTTGTGGAACTTCCTGTTATTTATAGAGACAAAGTTACTGGCTCTGATCCTGCCATGAGTTGTGTTACTCAGAGAGTCTATTACTGTAGCTGCCAATAACGTAGCTTAATTGTATTTTGATATTTGATTCTTTTTAGAATTTCACTTTATGCAAAATTTGAATATATTTAGGCAGAAAGTGATATTTTGAATATAGCAAAATTCCTTTCTATCCTGGGTAGATAAGCAACTATATGCTGGATAATTGAATATTCAGAATTATGGATACCATCTAAGAATTTCAGAGAATTAGAGCGCACTAAAACATCCTGGGGTAAGACTGTATCTTACACAAATACTTAACTTTTTTTTTTTTTTTTTAAACTTGGTAAGGAGCTTAAAGATTTGTTTTCTAAGTTACTTGTGTATCTTACTGAAAATTTTCTTCCCTTTTTGGTGGTTTTATAAGTAACATAAAGAGCAATAATGTACTAGATGAGACAGTGGTCAGTAATATTTGTAATTCTAAAGGAATAAATGCTCTTAGAGTTAGTAGATGGGTTGAATCAACATTATTTAGTAATTCTGATTCTAACTTTAGTCATTTTTCTGTCTCAAATGTGAGTACATACTGTGTGCCAGGTAATAAGGATACAAATGAACATAACAGACATCCCTGTCAATCTTATAGGGAACTTACACTCTACTAGAGGAGACAGATACCTAAACAAGTGCCGAAGTGTGATAAGATGGAAAATAAGTGACTGGTGAATGAAGTGCTGAGTAGGAGAAATTAATGGGAAATCATAGCAGGGAAGATTAATTTAGAGTAATTGAAATGTTAGTGCCCTAAAGGGAGAGAAACTAAATCAAAGTAAGACATGGCAGGGGTACAAATACTAAGTTTAATACTTAAATGTTCTGGATCGTTTTAATAAACTACAAAGCTAGGATTGTACTTTTCGTTATTACAGGACGACTTTTACTGTTATAAATATTATTTTGTTTTAAAAGTACTTTTATCTAATTTGGTAGCAAAATTGTGTAATTTTAATACACGCAGTTAAATGTCGACTTACCCAGTTTGGCCCACACAGTGTTTTTGAAAGTTGGCAGTCTTCAAATAAAAGCCTTCTGAGTAGGCCCACATTCCATAAGCAGTAATGACTTGGGATGGAATGACAGCTGCCTCCCTTTTTTAGATGGGATATGTGTTTACCACAATGCCTACTAGGTCAATTCCATGTTGTCTACCTAGTGTTTTGTAAAACAGTTGCTTTTGCAACCTCTAAAATTTTCCCATTTTGGATTAGCAATTTTCAAAGAATTCAATAAAATGCCTTAAAATAAAGCTCATCTTTGATTCAGGGGGTAGTTGATAGTTTGATTGTAAAAACTGTCAATACTTAGAAAGCACAGAAGCGTTGGTAATTAAGACTTGTAATTGGATGGTGTGCAGAATAAACCAACTCCTTAAAACTAGTTGCTTTTTCTACTTGACATTTTAGACTTTGTTGTTTTGAACAACACACTAGTTTTTCCCAAAAGGCAAGGAGCATACCTATAGACAATCAAAAGGAAACATGAAAAATGAGTGTATGGTAGTAATTTTTTTAGAGAATGATGTTGCTTATTCTGACAGATTTTTTTTAGCAGTTTAATTTGCTTTTATTTTCAGAAAACGTTTACCTTTTTTCATTTTTTAAATATATCAGATGATGGCTGTTTCTTGCTGAATTCTTTTAATATAATGACTAGCAGCTTTCTGCTTTTACAAACAGAAGCATGTGATTTTCAGAACTATTTTAAATATTAACGTGATCAACCGCAACTACTGGGTTTTACTTTGGTAGCAGTACTTGTTTTCAGTTAAAAAGGTTAGTTCTCACTGTTGGCTGGGTAATTTCAAGAAGGAGTCAAAGGTTATAAAAATCCACCCAAAGTATGGGTATTGTCTTGTACATAAGTAAGCACATAATTTAGATGCCAACTTTAAATAGTTAACTATATGCTTACGGTGGAGTGCACCAATGAAACAACTCATTTTGTTCTTTTGGCTTCTGAATACTTCTTTGTGACAAAGCATCACTGTATAAGATAAATAGTAGCTTATTTTGTGAGTGTTGTTACTCTGTGTAGCAAGCAATTGAGACCCAAAGCAACCCGTAAATTACAGATTTAGTGGGAGAACTAGATAGACAGTTAACAACGTCACTTTTGCTTTGGACTACTACTTAGGTCCCTTAAAGTGGTGCCAGTGCCACAGAACTGAAGATTCCTGACTTTCTAGTGAATATACCATCTAATTTTAAGTTTCAATAGAGTAACTTTGGTTTTAGTGAATTGTTGGGAAATCCTTTAGATCTTTTAGTTATATAGCAAAATTGCTTGGTTTTAATAATCAGATGTACTGGCTTATTCTTTCTGAAGGTAAACTACTTCGGAAGCACAACTATTGACTAAAAACTAAACCTTTGAAAGAAATGACAGCATTGCTAGTTTTTTGTGTGTATGGTTTTTTTGGGGTGGGAGCCGGGGGTACTATGTTACGGTTAGTTTCCAACAAGAATTGATGCAATTAGAAGACATTGACTTCTTTACCTATTGCCTCTGATATTTACTTGCTTAATTTTTTTTTTTATTGGAAATGCAGTTGGCAGAAAAAGATAGATTTAGAGAACAATAACTTCCACCTAATCTATGACAGAGATGTAGAAGAGAGTACCTGCGAAAAATGTGAAAGTAGCTGAAAAATGTAACCTTTGGCAGCCTGAGCATAATCAACCAGAAAAACTATCTGAATTAAAATAATTGGCTTATAGGTACTATTTTATTTGGTCCATAAGGGTTATTTTTTCAACTTTCATTTCAAGTGTATTATGTCATTTCCCACATAGGTTACTGATACCTGAAGACTTTTTCCATCTTTACCTTACTCATTCTCATTCAGGAGCTTTGTAGTCTAATAAAAGAGAAATATAAGTAAATGTTAGATATATGGGTGGGTAATGGTAACTATGTGCTTAAAGAGGTATAAAAGAAGGGTAGGGAGCAGATAAGACAAAGGAAGGACTATATTATAAGGAAGAATATTCCAAGTAGGGGAGAGGAAAAGATGTGTTATCCATGTAATATTTTATGTGCAGTAGAGAGCATGTTCTATAGAAGAAACAAGATGAAACTAGATTGATGGGCACCCAGATCATAAAGCACCGTATGTACTTAGGAGTTGGAGTTATATCTTAAAAACTATGGTAGATTTCAAGCAGGGGAGAAACATTTTTAAAAGACCACTTTATTATTAGGATGGAGGGATAATCATTAGTAAGCTATTGCCGTAATCTAGGCTGAAGATGACATCGTGAACTAAGATAGTAGTGACAGTGGCATAAAGGAGAGGCAAGGTCAAGAAATTTTAAAGATCTTATTTGATAACTATCTTGACTCTGATGAGATGAGAGAGGAAGAAGTCGATGATGAGATCCTGGTTTGTGGCTTTCAGTTATGGCTTGCTATTAATAAACAGGAAAAAAGGAATTGAGGAGACAAAGAGTTTGTTTTGGACCCATGAGATGAGATATCCAAGTAGAAATACCAGTAGGCATTTGAATATATGCCCTGGAGTGAATAACTGCACCAGAGATGTATTTTGCAACTCAAATTGTTATGGGTCGGCTGTTAAGAGTGGAAGATCAACCTATAAGAATACCAACATTTTTAGCTGGGTGTAGTGGTGCATGCCTGTAATCCCAGCTTCTTTGGAGGCTGAGGCCCGTGAATTTACTTGAACCTGGGAGGTGGAGGTTGCAGTGAACCAAGATCACGCCACTGCACTCCAGCCTGGGTGACAGCACCACTTTAGAAAAAAAAAGAAAAAAGAAAAAAAAGAATACCAACATTTTATTGCCACAAAAGAGCTGAGGCACTGTGAGGAAGCAACTTTGACCTGATGAGAGCAAAACAGGTAGAAGGTTTCTGAAGAAATCTAATATAAATTCTGGACTTGTAAGATTTTAGCCGATTTGCTGATCACGGTGTTCCTTATTCTTCGGGGTTTTGTTTCTTTTGGTGTAGTTTGCTGCTGATCCATAATAGAATTTAAATATCATAGGGTCTCATTTTTTTATATGGCCTAGTTTCATTATCTCTGAACCTTGTAGTTCTTCCTCTTGGGTATGGCAGAACTTTAGTGTTAAATTGTAACATTGAAATATTTTGCCGCCTTTATAAAGTTCTTTCTTTGAACAAACAAAATGAAATTTGGCTTTGCCTAAATCCCATCAGCAGATTGCCTTTATTTCAGAAGCATCGTAGACAGCATTTGATTTTATGAAAATTGAAATGAAAGCTTACAAAGAACTTCTGGAATTGGGTTATTAAAACTTCAGTGTTTGGGGCCAGGGGTGGTGGCTCACAACTGTAATCCCAAAACTTTGGGAGGCCAAGGTGGGTGGATCACTGGAGCTCAGCAGTTTGAGACCATCCTCTCAACTAAAAAGACAAAAAAAACTCCATCTCTACTAAAAAGACAAAAACAATTAGCTGACTGTGCTGGCTCACTCCTGTAGTTCCAGCTACTCAGGAGGCTGAGGTGGGAGAATCACCTGATCCCAGGAGGCAGAGGATTGCAGTGAGCCAAGATTGTGCCACTGCACTCCAGCCTGGGCGACAGAGCAAGACCCTGTCTCAAAAAAAAAACAAAAACAAAACTTTGAGATTCCCTTAAGTTGTTAATTTTACACAGAAAAAAACTGTCTTGTATAGTATCAGATCAGGTGAAACTATATGCTATTTGAAGCATCTATTCAAAGTTAATATAACTGTATTTAACAAAGATACGTTAATCTAATAAACTCAGATCATATTCTAAGTGACTGGAGTGGTTTTCTAGTTCCATATTTTACAGAAAATATGAAAAGGGGCTGGGCACGGTGGCTTATACCTGTAATCCCAGTACTTTGGGAGGCTGAGGCAGGCAGATCACCTGGGGTCAGGAGTTAGAGTTCAGCCAACATGGTGAAACCGCATCTCTACTAAAAATAAAAAATTAGCTGGGCATGTTGGTGCACCTGTAATCCAAGCTACCGAGGTGGCTGAGGCAGAAGAGTCTCTTGAACCTGGGAGGCGGAGCTTGCAGTGAGCTGAGGTTGTGCCATTTTACTCAAGCTTGGGCAACACAAACACAGCAAGACAATAATCTGTGTCTCGTTTGTCCCCCGTCCCGTTCCCATTCCCCCCCTCCACCCCCACCAAAAAAAAGAAGGGAAAACTTGGGAGTTGGAGGAGGACTCAATTTAAATAGAAGCTCTGGCTGGGCATGGTGGCTCATGCCTATAATCTCCACATTTTGGGAGGCCGAGACAGGTGGATCACAAGATCAGGAGGCTACAAGACCAGCCTGGTCAACACGGTGAAACCCAGTCTCTACTAAAAAGACAAAAATTAGCTGGGTGTGGTGATGCATGCCTGTAATCCCAGCTACTAGGGAGACTAAGGTAGGAGAGTTGCTTGAACCCAGGAGGCAGAGGTTTCAGTGAGCCGAGATTGCGCCACTGCACTTAAACCTGGGCGACAGAGTGAGACTCCGTCTCAGACAAACAAACAAAAGCTCTTCCATTTACTAGTTGTGTATTTCTTTGAACCTGATTCTTCATTAATAAATTGACCTTTCTTCTTTGAGCTCCACATGTCCCTTGTTCATATTTCATGATACCTATAATATTTCATTGCAGTTACTTTACATGTCTGTCAGAGTTTAAGCTCATAAAGATAAAAAAAAAATGCTCTTTGGATCCCTTACACATATACAGTGTATAGCAAGGGGTTAGATTAATTGAATTAATGTTTAATTATTTTACAGAAGGGTAGGAATTAGATGAACTGTGTTAGTGTCAGGCCTATTTTTTATGTGCTTGACATCCAGGATGGGCATAGTGAAAGGCTCATATAGCTGTATATACAAAGCCTTTCTAATAGAGGGGAATGAGTGTTGGTAAAAACCCAGTTCATGTAAGTTTTAAAACATGTCTTTGGATTGGTTCTTTGCATACTCAGAGGCAGTTAGGCATTCCACATTTTAGCTTCAAATTCCCAAATAGGTCAGTATCTGGTCATTAAGTGGTCTTCAAAAGAATTGTGTTTGAATCTTGGTTCTATCATTTACCATTTGTATACTAGACTAAGTTCTTTAAGCCTCATTTTTCTCATGCATAAAATAGGGACAATGTATCTATTTTCTGGTATTGATGAAAAATGAGAAGCTTAGGCTTTTCTCTGTTCTCCTCTTGAAGGTGTGTGTTAGTTACCTGGGATAGCTTACATTTGGTTTGCCAGTGGGCAGAATGGACTGTTGTAAAGCCATTTGTACACATTTGACTATTGGAAGAAATAATCTACACATGTAAAATTTTATTTACAGATTATTCTGAAAGGTGATGATGTAGGCTTTATTGCTATGTGTACTTTTTCCTCTGAGAATTGAGATCTAGAATACTTGTTTCTTGATAACTTTTTAAAAAATCATTTTGGTGACCTGTGTAAGTTTTAAGTGTTTTTTTTTTCTATTACTATAGACTGAATTTTCATGGACTGTTTATTACAGTGTAAATAAGTGATTTTGGTTCATTATTAGAGAAATGCTTGGAAACAAACGTTACAGAATATTTAGCAATAATATTTTAAATTTCAGTTAAGCATACTTTTCTTTTTACAGAATGACAGCCCATATCAAGGCGGTGTATTCTTTTTGACAATTCATTTTCCTACAGACTACCCCTTCAAACCACCTAAGGCAAGTATTTTCCCTCACAATCTGTTAGTATAGATTTATGGTTTATTTCAAAGGAATAGAGCATTCTTGGACGATAGGGTTCTGCCTAGGCTGAATATATATGTTGAATTGAGGCACTGATGTATAGATGCTGACTCTTAAACTTTGGTTTAAAGAGCTAGACCTCAGTTTGAACTTTGTAAATAGGGATAAGGTTTGCCTTTTCCTTAATGTTGCAAGATTCAGACCATGTGGAAGCTCCCCCCTCATCTGTATTATTGTTACACAGATTCTGATTTTGGGCTTTTGTCGTCTTGTAGGCATCAAATGTCCAACTTCAATTTATATTTGCATGTATTGTTACAACATATGCTTATTATGCTTATAGTTTTGTATACGTAAGTATAAATTTATGAAAACTTGGAGTTGCTTAGTGCACTGAGTTGATTGGTTTATAAGTATTAAAAGCATATTATCCTTGACTTTCAGTCATTAACATAAATTCAACCTGTATGAGTAATTAGAGAAGGTAATATACAAAGGTCATAAACATGTCACTATAACAGTCTTTAGTAATGTTACAGGTGCAATTTGTGATGGTTTCCATTTTTGTGATTCAAGTTTCTGTTTTATGTACGGTGGAAATGAAGACTAATGCGTACCTGTGTAACTTAATGAAACTTTAAATGAGATGGTCTACAAATTTTGGTTACATCCAAAAGTTAGGGCTGTTTTAAATGAATGTGTTAAATACATTTAAATTGCCCTTTGATTCATGACGTGGTAGGGCCAAAGTAGCCTTTAGAACTTTACATCACATGAGTAATGAAATTTTTATCCAAAAGTTCAGGTTTCTGTTTTAAAGAGAGGAGGCAGGGGGGTTATGGTCAGATTGTAAAAATCAGTTTCTATGATATTTAGAACTTGTATGCTAATAGATGACATTTTTAACATTGTGACTTGATTATTTTAAGTTTTGCTTTAAAAGATGTTTGTTTTTATTTGAATAAAATACTTAAAAGTTTTTGTTTTAGGTTGCATTTACAACAAGAATTTATCATCCAAATATTAACAGTAATGGCAGCATTTGTCTCGATATTCTAAGATCACAGTGGTCGCCTGCTTTAACAATTTCTAAAGGTAAAAATACTTCTAGTGAAATAGTCTTAAATTGTTCTCATTTTCTAATAAAATTTCATTCTTAGATCTACTTATCTGAGTATTTTTATTATGCCAGCTTTTTGGTAAGAGATGGGGAAGCAATAAAGTTATTTTTATCATTTTTGTTCTTCTAGGTGGTGGTGATTAAAGATACTTTGTAAGAAGTTGTTAAAATTCAAATTGGGGTGGGTAGGCATTATTTGCCTAATGAGTTACCTTCATCTCATCTTATAATAGCAAAATTTGTTTTAATTGACTTCTGTATTTTTCAATCCCAAACCACTTGGACGTCTCACACTAACTTGTTGCCTTTTTACCAAGAATGGTATAATATACCTAAACTTAATAGAGCTTTTGAATCCTGAGGTTTCCACTCTAGGAAAAATCTGATTTTGCTTTCCTGGGTTAATTTTTACACAAATCTTTAGTCATGTGTTATGTAACCATGATAGGTTGTTTCTACCTAATGACAGTCTAAAGTTGTATAATCTTAGATCTGTAAATCAATTCTGGTCTCCTACTTTTAATAGGCATCCGTTATATGTAACAGGCTGTCCAGTCTTTGCATGAATATCCTAGGTGGAGTTGTAATAATTAATAGTATTTCACCATTAATTGTTTTATGATTTTATGAGTTCAGTAAGTACAAAACAGCTTTTTCAAAAGACAAAGCATTGTATAAAAGTTTAATCTGCTTATATACTGCACTTGAATCTCATGGAGGGACTACTCTGTAGCAGCAGCATTTCCCAGACTTTATTGAGTAGAATCATTTAAGGGAGAAAAAGAAACAACTGGGGCAGATGCTGCCATAATTCAAGTGTTTTTAAAATTTTAAACCTGTTTTTCACCCTCTTGGATGCTTTCCAGTTTCTTTTCAAACCATGTTCCGTACCTGAATATCAGCTTCCAAGTTTTTCTACTGCTGGGAATGTACTGTAACACTGAAAACTGTTTCTGTAAAGGCAGATTGAATTGGTATTGTTTTGTCATTAAAACAACTTGCTTTTTTGGCAGCTATACTTTGCTAACTTATTAAACTAGCAGTCAGTCACAACTGAAGCTACCTTTTTTCTGTGAGTTATTATATAGCCAGGTCTCCTATGTTAGATAATTTTATATTTGTTCTGCTGTATCTGGGTTTGAAATTAAATTTGCTATAGTCAGTAAATATTTATGTGACAGTGTCGTCTCTTTTTATACTATTGCTTTTTTTAAAAAAAAATCGGTCAGAACCATTTCAAGCGTTTATATCTTAACATTTTATAACAGCACCATATATGGTGACTGGCACTAACAGGCACTCAAAGTGAATGCAGTCTATATATTCCTTAATGCTTGACATCTTATACATCAGTATGTTGAACTGGTTAAGGTAAGAAGTAGAGCTGGTGACTCACTTAGTACTAAAGAGATTTTGGCATTGTTGTATTTAACTAGTACTCTTGGGAATATAGTTTCTTGCTTACAAGTTCAAGGAGACAAAACATTTAGTGGAGTACTTGAAAGTTTTTCTCAGAAATTCCCAAGACAATGGCAAAGAATGGATTTTTCGTCATTCCTAACAGCTGTGAATGTGGCATGAGTGTTACCTGCATATTCTTGCTAAAGTCCCCCCACACCCACCCACACAGAGTACCAACAAATTCCCTAAGTTCTAATATCATTTATGCCTATTTAAAAAATATATATATAAATATGGCATCAGTTGCCTATCTTAAACTATTTTTATGGCTAGTCAGCAGTGAATCTGATGCCACAAAACCTTGTTTTTAGCACTTCTTGCTTACCAGGAGCTTGTGGTCTATGAAACAAAATCTTTGTAAAACTATGTCTCATTGAGATAGAGATACAAACTAATAAGTCTTTTGAGGATTGAGGTTTGTAATACACCGTTTAGAAAGATTTATTTATCCAAACTCCTGAAACTGGGTAACAGACATTTTTGTTTTCTTGCAGTTCTTTTATCCATTTGTTCACTGCTATGTGATCCAAACCCAGATGACCCCCTAGTGCCAGAGATTGCACGGATCTATAAAACAGACAGAGATAAGTAAGTATGTTTAAAAGTTATTATAAAAGTGGTTTTACTTAATGAGTTAGGCTTATACTTTGCTTGTGACAATGCCAAGAAGACTTGATAGTTAGTAAGATAACAGTTAAAATATGCAGAAAGCTATTAAAATGTGGTTTTTGAAAAAAACTAGGCTTTAGTTTACGTGACAGTGAATGCTCCCCTCTAAAGTGTTTTTTTCTTTTTTTTTTTTTTTCCTAGCGTGTTACAGTATCACTTTATTTCTCAAATTTTGGGAAAGAAAGCAAATTTTTCTTTACCCCAAGCATGTTTTTCCAAAAAATGTTAGTACTGTTGTAAAAATTTGGTCTAAATTTTTCAAATATTTGAATAATATTTATGTTCAACTTAACCATTATAACTTTCATATGTTATAATTAATGCTAAGTGTACTTGTTCAATTAGGTACAATAGGTTAGCAAGAGAGTGGACAGAGAAATACGCTATGTTGTAGGGTAAGAGGATCTGCACTCTTATGGTGCGCTTATTCATGGTACTGCCAGCACTTGAGTGCTGCATGCGTTAAGGCACTGTATTAACTAACAAAAGGTAACAGATGTGGTAGTCTTCTGAAAACTGTACATTTAACTGCTTGATCTCTGTTTAACGTGAAAGTAAATATCTGGTAGTCGTTATTGCTTGAAAGTATTGCATGGCAAAGCAGTTATATAGCACTAGTAAGAAATGGGAATTTATGTAGTATCTTTTTCTTTCAAACTACCATAGTGTTTAAATTCTAGCTTAAGACTTTGTACCAATCCTATACAGAATGTGGTGGTTTAGTTCAAATTTTGCCAGGAGATAGTATATAAGGGAAAAACACTTTTAAGCCTAAGCATCTAAACTAAGTGTTCATTACTGACAAGCATGCATTAGCGTCAACTGTACTTTGTGGCTCCCTGTATGCTAAATAAAGCCTTTGTTTTAAACTGCTGGCTTTTTGAGAGAGTATCCTTAGGAGATGACAATGAATTGGTAGATAACTTTTTTAAAAGTTTAGGAAAGTTTTTGGACCATTTTGGTTCTTGGTTTGAAATAAAGCTAGCTAATATTTAAACTATAAATATAAAAATTTTCCTATGCGCATATATATATATATATATATATTCATTTCTTAAGGTTATCACTATTTTTTGTTGGGGTAAGTAGTCTGTGGCATGAATATAATCCAGTGGGAAGCTGATAGTATTTATCAATGTTAGTAGTCTTCCTGAGTAATAACCTTGCTTGTGTGTGAATTACCTGTTGATCTTTTTAAACAAAGATGCCCTTGTACTCAACAGGTCTCGGTGGTGCTTATTAGCCTCAGTTACCACACTTATTAAAAGTAACACATGATTCTGATGAGCACAACCACTCACACACCCATTTTGGAAATTACTGCCCTTTGTCATTCTGCCCAGTGTCATCTTCCCCTTCTGCCTCTACCTAATTCCCAAAGCCATTTCTTCTTACAATATCCAGGAGAAAGTAATTTCTCAAACTCCAGGATTCAAATAAAATTGTTTTACTAAAAGCCTGGTTCTGGCTTTGGTGGAAATTTCTGTGGATAGATACAATGTGTATACTATTTTAACATTTGTCCATAATGAACTGTAAAAATTTTTTCATGTTAAAATTAGAGCATGAGCTCGGTAGTAGAGAGAAAGGGTCTTTTGATTTTTGTCAGCCTCCCAATTTTCAGTGCTGCTTTCTTAGTTGTATTAAAATACTGCTTTCAGAGCATCAGGCTCTCATTTCCCACATTGCTTTGAGTACCAATGCTATTTCTCCCTTGTTGGCTTTTATTCTAATCATAGTCATTAGAGATGACTTCATGATGGGTCTGAAGATGATAAAATGGAAATCTTTCCTTTCCATTTAAAGTATTAGGAATTCTTTCACTTTATTTTAACTTTTAAAAATAACATCTTTATTTACAGGTACAACAGAATATCTCGGGAATGGACTCAGAAGTATGCCATGTGATGCTACCTTAAAGTCAGAATAACCTGCATTATAGCTGGAATAAACTTTAAATTACTGTTCCTTTTTTGATTTTCTTATCCGGCTGCTCCCCTGTCAGACCTCATCTTTTTTAATTTTATTTTTTGTTTACCTCCCTCCATTCATTCACATGCTCATCTGAGAAGACTTAAGTTCTTCCAGCTTTGGACAATAACTGCTTTTAGAAACTGTAAAGTAGTTACAAGAGAACAGTTGCCCAAGACTCAGAATTAAAAAAAAAAAAAATGGAGCATGTGTATTATGTGGCCAATGTCTTCACTCTAACTTGGTTATGAGACTAAAACCATTCCTCACTGCTCTAACATGCTGAAGAAATCATCTGAGGGGGAGGGAGATGGATGCTCAGTTGTCACATCAAAGGATACAGCATTATTCTAGCAGCATCCATTCTTGTTTAAGCCTTCCACTGTTAGAGATTTGAGGTTACATGATATACTTTATGCTCATAACTGATGTGGCTGGAGAATTGGTATTGAATTTATAGCATCAGCAGAACAGAAAATGTGATGTATTTTATGCATGTCAATAAAGGAATGACCTGTTCTTGTTCTACAGAGAATGGAAATTGGAAGTCAAACACCCTTTGTATTCCAAAATAGGGTCTCAAACATTTTGTAATTTTCATTTAAATTGTTAGGAGGCTTGGAGCTATTAGTTAATCTATCTTCCAATACACTGTTTAATATAGCACTGAATAAATGATGCAAGTTGTCAATGGATGAGTGATCAACTAATAGCTCTGCTAGTAATTGATTTATTTTTCTTCAATAAAGTTGCATAAACCAATGAGTTAGCTGCCTGGATTAATCAGTATGGGAAACAATCTTTTGTAAATGCAAAGCTGTTTTTTGTATATACTGTTGGGATTTGCTTCATTGTTTGACATCAAATGATGATGTAAAGTTCGAAAGAGTGGATATTTTGCCATGTTCAGTTAAAGTGCACAGTCTGTTACAGGTTGACACATTGCTTGACCTGATTTATGCAGAATTAATAAGCTATTTGGATAGTGTAGCTTTAATGTGCTGCACATGATACTGGCAGCCCTAGAGTTCATAGATGGACTTCTGGGACCCAGCAGTTTTGAAATGTGTTTATGGAGTTTAAGAAATTTATTTTCCAGGTGCAGCCCCTGTCTAACTGAAATTTCTCTTCACCTTGTACACTTGACAGCTGAAAAAAAAAAAAACATAACATGGGAGTAATAATGGGTCAAAATTTGCAAAATAAAGTACTGTTTTGGTGTGGGAGTTGTCATGAGGCTGTGTTGAAGTGACTTATCTATGTGGGATATTGAGTATCCATTGAAATGGATTTGTTCAGCCATTTACATTAATGAGCATTTAAATGCAACAGATATCATTTCAGGTGACTTAACATGAATGAATAAAAGTCAATGCTATTGGATTGTTTTTTGTTTGACAAGTGCTATCTGTGCCACTAATTTAACTTCTGTAGTAACAAGGGCATTACCATTCTTCACCTTTCCTAATTCTGATCCCATAGTTTTACATGTTTCCTGGTTATTTTGGTTTTGTCCACTGCTTTATTTCTTAAAGTTCTAGCACATCTGTGACTCCTCCACTTCCACATTTTTGCACTGCTTACACTTATGTGCAATCTTATTCCTTGTCTGCACACAGATGTGGAAAGCTAGAAATAAATGTTAAAACTTACTTTTTATAAACATTTTAATATGTAGTTTGGACATGATTTATTGACTTGAGGTTCTTCTCTAAACTGGAAGTGAAATGCATGCCTTCTGAAGATGTTCTGGCTTTGTTAATTCTGTAATCATTTCATTGGGAAAAAAACCAGCTACGCAGTTTTTCCAATGAGTGAATTTTTTCATTTTGTCTTTTGCTTAAAATGGCTCCTTCAGGGTAGATGTCATACTGCATAACTTTTTTGGATTCAAATTATGAATGAGAAATACTAGTTACATTCTGCTCCGCAAGGTAAGAAAAACTGCTCTTTGGCTCTGTTTTCAAAATTACTTCTGAGATGCATATACTCTCAAAATAACAGCTTTAGTAGGCATATCACTTCTTGAAAGCCAAACATGAGTGTAAAACACTTTTATGGAACACAGTGGATCCCTAATTGGCTTTCAGATTGACCTTTATAGCCTTAGACAACCCTTAGGTATTTACAGAGATGACTTCTTTGATTGTCGTAACAATTAGTAGATGTGTCCAGTTCTCTGTATCTTTGACTTGATGCTTTATACATCATTTCATTTGTTGCTTCTAAGGGAATAAGCCATAGAGGCTTCTCCAGGTTTAAAAGAACAGTAAAGTACCTGGAAAACCAACATTTTTGAATGTATGGATACTGGACATGAAATCATGTACAATGAAATCTTCAAAAGAATCTAAGAATTTGCCCTTTCCCCCACTCCACCCAATAATTTGACATTACTAGTGCCATGTATAGGACCCAACTGAGTATTAGAATCATTTTTGACTATGTCTGTGTATTTCCTAGATCTTTTAATGCGTAAACTCTTAAGAATTAAGGTCCAGTTGGCCTGTTAATGGTAAATTTACATTTTAAGTGACAATTTGTTTTTCCTGGGCGAGTTTGCAATGTGATAATCAGATTTTTTAAAGCTGATTAATTTGCTTTCTTGTGTGGGTGTACTCACATTTTAAAGTATGAACCACAGTTAACTAGTGGTCTCAGGGGTAGTGAAACACTCACTTTTTTTTTTGGTTTTTTTTTTTTTTTTTTTTTTTTTTTTTTTTTTTTGAAATGGCTTAGTTGAAGTATACTGGCTGGAGTGCAGATGCTGTGTTAGTGATTTGGGTGGGGAGGGGGGGTAACTCAAATTAGCCATGTTTTGTGTTGGCATAACAAAACTGTTAATGATTGTTGATTACACTTTTAAGTGAATTTGTCTTTTATGAGGAACCCAGTGCAAGTCACTAAATATTGTCTAATAGTGACATGTGCATAAGACTTGTAATAGCTAAAGTTAATTGAGCTTAAAGGAATTGTTACCATTAAAGTCTGTGTTTAAAGACACTGTGGTCTTACTCGGTAATTCCAGCTAACATGAAATCCACACTTGAGCTTAATGTTGCGTGTGAGCTCGATTTTGAATTTTATACAGTTTATGAAGAAATTAAGGTGGTGATTCTCAAAATGTCTCTTGAGATAACAATCTCAGCATCATTTGGGAAATTCTTTGTAATGTAAGTTATCAGGCCCCACCCCAGTCCTGAATCAAACTGTGGCGGGGAGCCCAGTCACCTATATTAAAACACCCTCCAGGTGATTCTGATGAATGGTGAAGATTGAGAACCATTTTCAGAAGTCTGTTCATAGCATTCCCTTGTAACAGACTACAACCAGTAATCCTTTGACTCTACAGCTATTTTTTTATAGCTGTTTTTGGCTATAGAGAATGTGTTTAAGTATTACATTTCTGATAACTGGTAATTTCCTAGTACTTTGAATTGTAATACAGTACATTGATTTCCACATTTACACTTGGAATATTAAAATACATTAACATCTTACAATTGGCTAATTTGAATAACCATACAGGTATAGAATTCAGCCAATCAAGTATTTAAAAGTAATCAGGTGCAAAGATTTACCTAAGTATTGTGTTAGCTAGCTGAACAAATCTGAACCCAGATCCCATTCTGTGGCCTGACACTAAGCAATTTTTCCAAGTGGAAATGATGCCATGTTAAGGGTGTTTGCAGTGTTTGACAAATATTAAATGTTCCTGAAGGTGGCTATTAAGATTTCTCGTGCTGTCCCGTTGTAATGGAAAAAAAGGTATTTGGAAGTGGCTTCAAAACATGACAGTGCCCCCTCCAAGAAAAAAAAAACTGGAGGAACCATCTTAACAAAAAGACTTAAATATATTGAAGTTGGCTGAATGTCTTAAGTCCCTAGAAATTATTACTCTGTTGCATTATTTCGTGCTACCTTATAACTACTTGCTCATTTCTGGCCTCAGGTTTGAAAATTCTTACGTGATTCAGGTATACAAGATGTTTCTGACAATTGTTCTTTTACTTGGGATGCTTCAGTTAAAATCCCACTGTCAATATCTAGCTCTTCCCAAACTGTATGCTATTTATAAATGAGATTTTTTAAGAGCCCTCTTTTCTGTATTGTAAAAAATGTTTTTATGAAATTTACATTTTTGCGTACTACTGTCTGATCCTCTGTAGAACTTGATTTCTCATTTACCATATCAAGTTTGTAGTCAAGGCTGAACAATGAACTTTCATGCCATACTGGCTTAGGAGCCCAGTTAACCACTGTCATTTACTAACCTTCCAGCTATTTCTCCTGAGCTCCCATATAACTTCTATTCATCCACATGACAGTCTAAAGGGCATCTTTTAAAATGTCTGAAACTAGCCATATGTCTACAAAGACATAAACATACACATACTATTACCCCATGCTCGGTAAATATCAACATTGAATTGCACTGGCCTAAAACCTAGGCACCAACTTTGACTTCTCACATTCCACCTTCAATCAGACTTAGCAGCAGCCTTTAGAATCTGCCCATTTACCATGCTCACTGTTAGCACCATGATCTAAAGCTGTATCATTTCTTATTTGGATTATTGCAATAGCCTCCTGAGTGATCTCCCGCCTTGCAGCAATCTGTCCCCCACACTCAACCCCTTTAAACCATATCAGATGTCATGGCTTTTCTCCAAACCTAATGGTTTCCCATCTCATTTGGAGTAAAAACACAAAGTATTAAAAGTAATGTACAAGGTTGTAGATAACTTTCTTGCCCACTCTTGCCTCAGCTTAATCCCCAATTCCTTGCTTCCCTTACCACCATTCCAACTCCCTCAGCTCAGTTACGTGGGCCTGCTGAGACTTGCAAATATGTGTGAAGATGTTTACTCTTTCTCTTACCTTTGCCTAGGATGATCTTACCCCACATACCATACAGCTTCCTTTTCCCTAACTAGGTCTCTTGAAATACCTTATCAGAGTAGTATTTCTTGACCATTCTATATAATAACGCCAACGCAGCATCACCTCTATAGAGTACATCATGACATATTCAGTATTATCTATCTTACAGGTAATAATTGCCTCGCCGTCAGGCCCACCCCGGTTCTATGAGGGCAGATTTTTCTCTCATCAATTACTAGATGACTACTTGGCATATTTTAGGTGGTCAGATATTTAACACAAATGACTGAGCCAAATGGTAGTGTGTCAAAGGTACACATACTTGCCATTTGTATTCTTGGGGAAAATGTTTAATCTGCTTGCTTCATTTCTAACTCCAAACGAACAAAGAAAACTAATATACTATTAAAAAGTTATTAATCAGACCTTCTTTATTCTCTATTGTAAGTAAAATAATGCAATTCAGATTCTGTCAGCCTGGATGATTACCCTGATCAATCCTGTGAAAAATCAACGAGTTGCTAGGGGAAAACCTTTTTTTTTTCCCAATGTGTCAGTGTTCTATCAAGAAAGGAAGGCGTACTCTCAGACCAGAACCAAACTGAAGCCAAGAACCCAGAGGAAAACAGAACATACCCAGAACGAGCTTGCATTTTGAATGAAGTAACCCAAGTGAACTTTTTTCACTTTTTCTTTTTTTTTCTTCGAGACAGGGTCTTGCCCTGTCACCCAGGCTGGAGTGCAGTGGCACACCCCTCGACCTCCTGGACTCAAGCAATCCTCTCACCTCAGCCTCCTGAGTAGTTGGGGCTACTCACCATGTTACCCAGGCTGGTCTTGAACTCCTGGGCTTAAGCAGTCCATTTGCTGCGGCCTCCCAAAGTGCTGGGGTTACAGGTGTGAACCACCGTGCCTAGCTGACCTTTAATTTTCATGACTCTGGCAAAGCCCAGAATGCACCCAAAAGTGGTGTCAAATAGGAGAAACCCATTGCTAGTACAACTAGGACTCTACCTATCTTGAAAGTTGGTGCTCTGTGGCAGGAGAATATTGCGAGAATTTGTAATAACAGTTTGGGCTTTGTAAAGATTTGCAGCCTTAGGTGGTTCCAGAAAATTCAAGCAAGGGATTTAATTTTTAGAGTGATTCCAAATTAGAAGAACAGCCAGCTACTGGCAGAAGCAAACACTGTAGGAATTCTGTAGTAGCTCACATTTTAAAACCAGCAAGAAAAAGTACAAGGTAACGTAGCACCATGAGTTGCCAACCAATTTGCAAGAATCAAAACAAAAACTTTCTAGTTTTTAAAATAGTCAAATTGGAAAGGAAGAAGACTATATTAATAAGTGACATCTTGTATATGGAAAATCCTACGTAATTCATAAAAACCACTTAGAGCTAATGGAATTAGGCAAATTTACAGGATACAAGATTGGCACACAGAAGTCAGTTGTATTTCTTTAAATATTGTTTGTAAGCAATCCATAAATTAAGAAAACTCCATGTACAATATCATCAAAAAGAATAGGGGCCCAGCGCGGTGGCTCACACCTATAATCCCAGCACTTTGGGAGGTCGAGATGCACACGTCACTTGAGATCAGCAGTTTGAGACCATCCTTGCCAACTTGGTGAAACCCCATCTCTGCTAAAAATACCAAAAAAAAAAAAAAAAAAGCTGGATGTGGTGACATGCACTGCGGTTGCAGTGAGTCGAGATAATGCCACTGCACTCCAGCCTGGGTGACAGAGACAAAAAAAAAGAATAAATGTAATCAAGGAAGTGCAAAAACATGTACACTGAGAACTATCAAACTTCTGAAAGAGAAGTCCTGAATAAATGAAAAGACATCCTGTATTCATGGATTTGAAGATTTAATAACGCTGAAATGACTGATTCTCACAGCAATCTACACATTTAATGTAACTCCTATCAAAATTCCAATGACTGTTTTACAGAAATGATAGAATTTAAGAATTCAAACGGAATTGCAAAGGACTGCAAAGAGCTAAACAATCTAAAAAGAATGAAATTAAGGAACTCATACTTCCTTATTTCAAAAGTTAATACAAAGCTACAGTAATCAAAATAGCATATACAGGAACACATAGACTCATGGAATAGAATTGAGGGTCCAGAAATAAGCCCGTACACTTACGGTCAGTTGATGTTTGGCAAAGATGACAAGACCATTCAATGGGAAAGAATAGTCTTTAACAATATGGTGTGGAGACAACCAGGTGTCTACATGCAAAATGATGAATTTGGACTCCTACCTCACATCCTATACAAAAATTAAAATGGATCAAAGTCACAAATGTAAGAGCTAAAACCATAAAACTTAGAAGAAAATGAGTGTATCTTTGTGTTCTTAGATTTGGCAATACTTAGAGATGACACCAAAAGCACAAACAACCAAAGAAAAAAAAAAATTGGACTTCATTAAGATTATAAACTTGTGTGCGTCAAAAGACATTATAAAAATGAGGCTGGGCGCAGTGACTCAAGCCTGTAATCCCAGCACTTTGGGAGGCCAAGACAGGCAGATCACGAGGTCAGGAGATTGAGACCATCCTGGCTAACACGGTGAAACCCCGTCTCTACTAAAAAATACAAAAAACTAGCCGGGTGAGGTGGCGGGTGCCTGTAGTCCCAGCTACTCGGGAGGCTGAGGCAGGAGAATGGCATAAACCCGGCAGGCGTAGCTTGCAGTGAGCTGAGATCGGGCCACTGCACTCCAGCCTGGGCAACAGAGCAAGACTCCATCTCAAAAAAAAAAAAAAAGGATAACCTACAGAATGGACAAAAATTTTCAAATAATCTATCTGATTAGGCTCTAGTATTCAGAATATATAAAGAATTCTTAAAACTCAACAAGAAGACAACGACCCTATTTAAAAACAGGCAAAAGATTTAAACATTTTCCCAAAGAAGATATACAAATGGCCAGTAAGTATATGAAAAGATGTTCAACATACTAGTTATTAGAGAAATGCAAATCGAAACCACAATGATGTATCACTTTACCCCATAGAATAGCTATAAAATTTTAAAATAGAAAATGTGTTGGTGAGGATTTTGTGAAACTGGAACCCTTGCACGTTGCTGGTGGGAATGTA